TGTCAAGCTCAGTGATAATCCCCGTCAAGGTCGTCCAAAAACTGCAGTCACCCAAGAAAACGTTGATGCTGTGCGTAAGCTGATTTAGGAAGATCGACATGTGACATACCGCGAAATTCAGGCAACTTTAGACATTGGCATGAGTCAAATACAAATAATCTTGCATGAACAATTAGGTGTAAAAAAGTTGTTTTCCCGATGGATACCGCATTCGCTCTGTGAAGAGCAAAAAGCGGCTCGCGTTACTTGGTGCGTCAGAACTCTCGAAAGATTCCACGCAGGATCCTCAAATACTGTATACAACATCGTATCCGGTGACGAATCCTGGATATACGCGTACGAACCCGAAACAAAAAACCAGTCACGAGATTGGGTGTTCGAAAATGAGTTAAAGCCAACAAAAATAGTTCGTTCACGGAGTGTTGCAAAAAAATTGGTGGCCACGTTTGTCTCCAAAACCGGCCATGTTACGACTATTCCTCTTGAGGGACAAAGAACGGTTAATGCAGAATGGTATGCTAGCATTTTTTTGCCACAGGTCGTTTCTGAATTCCGTAAAGAGAACTGCAACCGCCGCATCATCTTCCATCACGACAATGCGAGTTCTCACACCGCACACAGAACAAAAGAGTTTTTAGAGCAAGAAAACATAGAATTATTAGACCATCCGCCGTACAGCCCCGACCTAAGCCCTAATGATTTCTATACTTTCCCTAAAATAAAGAATAAATTGCGTGGACAGAGATTTTCATCACATGAAAAAGCTGTGGACGCCTACAAAACAGCCATTTTGGAGACCCCAACTTCCGAATGGAATGGTTGCTTCAATAATCGGTTCCATTGTATGGAAAAATGTGTCAAATTTCGCGGAGAATACTTCGAAAAGCAATAAATACATTTTTAAATAGTAATGTTGTGTCACTTCCTTGATTCCCGAAATTTTCAGTGCCGCCCTCGTATTGACAATGGGTGCTGTAAAGCGTTCGAAACGTCGGAAATATATATAGTTAAAACTTTTAACAAAAAGTAAAAACTGACTTTAAATTGCTAAAAAATAAGTTATTTATTTGCTACCAATAGGGGTGGAATTTTTTTCTCCAAATTTATATGAACCCATCCCTTAAATATAGCCTATTTAATAAAATAAGAATCAACCAAATTTGTTCGCAATTGACGAAGGTGTCGCGTAACACGCATACACAAAAACAGTTGAATTGTAAAACTCGTCCTTTTTTTGAACTCTGTTAAAAATCACGAAGTATGTGCACTGAGTTTTAAAATTAATAACTTATTATTCCGTGTCAATGTAAAAAAAACTACAATAAATGGATAAATTGTAATAATGTCACGATCTTTACCTCTACAAGTATTTATATTAAAAATATTAAGTGAAATATGTTTGAAAAAAAAAAAAGTCCCGCTGGGTTTCTTGCTGGTTCTTCCCAGGACTGAGGTATTTTTCGAACCAGTGGCAAATAAAAAATGACTTTCAATAAGTATTATGTAATAATCAACATTGAATAAAAAATTATTCTATGCCCCATCACTGCCGTGCCCCCAGATTATAAATAATACTTATTGAAAGTGACTCTTATATTTAATTTAGCACTGGTTTGGAAAATACATCTGTCCTGTGAAGAACCAGCAAGAAACCCAGTGTGACTTTAAAAAAAAATAACTACACAAAACAAATTAGAAATAGCCTGCTAGCGATCACCTTATGTATAGGGGTATTATAATCAATAAATTCCTTAATATTATAAATATAATCTTTTTAATACAAAGTTTTTGAAAGAAGACAATCGTTTTTGGGCTCACTAGAAATTTTAACGTAACTTAATTTTATCACACATAAAAAAGATACCAATTTATTTTAGTAAACGGCCTAAATATTTTATGAAAATCTAACCGAAATCATGAAATATCAAAAGAAAAGAGTTACTTTGATATTCGTGTTCTGGCTAATGTAATATGAAAAAAAATGCATGTAACGAAGAACGAACTACTAAAAGGATTTTCCATCAATATTGAAGTACCTATAAATGCTGCATATACCTACAACTTTGTTTATACTATTAATTATTGACCAGTGCACTATTTTAACTTATAATACCGTTGAACAGAATAAATAAAACAGGTTAAAATTATATGTTAGTTCTGTTTATTCAAAGCATACAGACAAATATTTACGACTTTTGTTATTGGTTTTTTTTAAATGTATTTTGTTGTATTTAATGATATAATGAATTCTCATCTTTACATATAATTGAAATGAAAATAGTGTTGGAAAGAATCAGAAAGTTGTAAGAATTCAATTTTACTTAAAGAGAGAACTTTTTTTATAGTAATGGGTGACAAACTAGCACACAGTCCACCTGGTAAGTGGTTGCTGTGGCGCATAGACATCTACATCTATCCTCGTTTGCGAATCAAAATGCAGATGCGTTGTCACCCGTGAGGACTAAGATGGAATGCCTCTTTTCCAGTAAAAAGGGTCTCCGGTTCTCTACACTCACCATACAAAACACATCAGTGTTTAGCTGTTATTTTACGCTGGTATTTTGTGAGAGCGTGCTCCTTCCCCGATCGAGCCAACCCATTAATGCTATAACTATACTACTAATACAGCTGCAGCATGGCTCTACCATGTAAAAAACAAGTTGATTAAACAATAAAAATAACACCGTGTAATATCGTGTTGTTGGTTGAACACCAAACGCATGAGCTGATTTCGTGTATGTGACAATCCTAAACGGGCGTACCGATATGCAAGCGAAGCCGACCGATACTAGCGCAGACGTCGCGGGCAGGAGAGGGACTCCGCTCTCCTTCATACTGCGCCCCATCGTTGCTCCGTCTAGTCGCCGAGCTAACTCACTATATGTTTTAGTATTTACTATACATATGACAGTATTGCAATTTTTTGTATGAGAACCAGAGAAAAGTCGTTTTAAGAAACAACGATTTTATAAGCACTACGTTTTCAGTAATGTATGTGTTCTTGTCGCGGAGAAATTGGTCAAACGGTGTAGCGCGCATGCGTAGGAGAGGGCAAGTCTCTTCTATACCTCTACTTCATGATAAAGTTTGGGCCAGCCGCGCCTTATTTTTATTTGCGCGAGCGACCTGATGCTGTTAGATTGTACCTTGATTAATGGCCCCCCGTAGTTTCCTACAGTTTTCTTAGTAATTGCTCACTGTTAAATAACTAATTTTCATATAATTCATTTTCTTACAGTCGTATTTATATATTTATATATTTTATCAAAAACTTTGTTAATACATCAAGCAACGTGGATGAAGTCGCGGGTATCAGCTAGTTTTATATAAAAATTTATTAATACATCTTAAATTTTAAGACATACAGCAAGGCCAGCCATTAAACATTTTTCAAACACTAGTTATATTATACTTTTCTTTTCTTTGTTTTTTTTTTAAAAAAAGCCTTACCCCCACACTAGGATTTTCTCCTGTATCGTGAAGGCAGTTTACAAACATAATTTACACAGGGACAAACATACAGACTCAGAACAATTATTTGTAGGCGATACAAATACATGTTTGGCAGCAGTATCTTTTCCTAATAATGACTAAAAATAAAAAACTGTGGTTGCCAACCTGCTTGCCAAGCGTGGTTCATATATTTGCCATAGTTTGGCAAATATATGAGGCAATCTATGGCAGATCCCTATGTTCAGCAGTGGACTTTAAAGCCACGTCTCCACCAAAGTTTTGTTGCCAACACAACAGTTGCCAACAAAACTTGTATCCATTTTCGGGGGTAACGTCAAAGGTATACGCTTGTTGACAACATTTGTTTCCTCGGTGGAGACACTTGTTGTAAACAGTTGGGAGACATAACTGTTGTCAACATTTTTGGTGAATACGTGGCTTTATAGGCTGTAACAATAATTGTATTGGGTAATAAATATGTATCAACATTAGCTAGGTGGTACAAATCCTATTTCGACTATGAGTCCATCTGGCAAAGTACAAGGACATCAAAAGTAGAGCTTGCACTACTGTGTTCCAGTCTGAATGCTATAGAAAGCCAGTATAAATAAATGGGTATGAAGTTGGCTGTAGGTGTCCATGGACTGCAGAGCAATTTTCCATTGAAGTTTTATAAAAAAAATTAACATAATAAATTTAGTACATAGTGAAATTTAGTGTAACCGTTAAGGTTTGGAAATTAAGAGAAGCTTATATATTATCCTCATATGTTTTCATGAACTAATTAATAAAAGTTTCAAAAGATGCTCTCTGTACTCTGAACTTTAAATAAAAAGGACAAACCAAATTCAAAAAGGTAATGTTGTCCAAATAGTTACATTAAAATCTTAATCCTCTATTTTATTACCCTTAGGGGCGAAATTTTCTCATAAAATTATTATGGGACCACTCCTGAAGTATAACCTATTTAATAAAAATATATATTAATTTAAATTGTTTCTGCCACTTCAGACAAATCAGTGAACATACATTAAATAAACATAATATGCTTTGGGTATAAATTCTCTTTTTTTTTACTCGGTTAAACAGTTACAATATAGACACAATGCTGATATAAAAAATATTCTTTTATTTCTTATTTAAAGGACTTTATTGCCAAAGCGTTAATTCTGTCCACGTAGTAAAGAAATTAACTCTTAATTTTATTACTTACGTGAATATTATTATCCAACATTATTTAAAAAAAAAATACTTTAAGCATTTAAGTTGCAAGAAAAATTTGACCTTTAATATAACTGCGTATTAAATAATAAATAATTAACGAAAATAACCAACTAGATACGTAGGTACCACGAAATTTCGATTAGTTGATAATTCTCAAGGATATTTATTTCTAAAATTAAACAAGACGTTATCTAACACAGGAAGCTTTTATTGGGATAGGTATTTAAAATTAGAAAACACGCTTGAATATTATACATCAATTTAAGTTAATTACTTAGTATTTGCTGTTCAAGGAACGCTTAAAATCAATAAAGTATACTTACTTGATTCTCTTGAAAATTATATGACCATTCCGCTGTCCATGTTTTGACCGCAAACATGTCGGATTTGTCGTTTATATTGTTTAAAAGGCCTACAACATCCATTTTTATTTACATTCATTTAATTATTAATAATATTATTGAATCTAAATATAATTAACAATCACAAAAGACCATCAGCTGTTGACACACAAATACACAGTACAGAACACTATTACTCCTACGGACACACAGTTACACAGTTTATAAAAAGTACTCTGTGGTACACAGACTAAGACTACTACATAGATAATAATAATATACACATCATATTAGTCTGTGCAGACACAGACTAATACATATTACATAGATTACTGTATATATATGGACTAATATGATGCTTACGCATCTAAGAGGATCATCATCATCATCATTACAACCCTTCACACTTCCACTGCTGAACATAGGCCTCCCCCAAGGAATGCCACAAAGCACGGTCCTGAGCCACCGGCGTCCATCGACTTCCTGCATGTCTCACCAGGTCGTCACTCCATATAGTGGGGGTCGCCCCACACTTCGCCTACCGGTATGAGGCTGCCACTCGAGAACCTTTCTTCCCCATCGGTTGTCAGTTCTTCGAACTATATGGCCAGCCCACTGTCACTTCAGCTTACTAATCCGTTGGGCTATGTCAGTCACTCTGGTTCTACTGCGGATATCCTCATTTCTAAGTTTACCACACAGAGACACCCCGAGCATAGCCCTCTCCATAGCTCGCTGAGCGACCTTAAGCTTCCTCATACGGCCAGCAGTGAAAGATCACGTTTCAGATCCGTAAGTCATCACTGGCAATACGCACTAGTTGTACAATTTCGTTTTCAGATTTTGAGGTATGTCTAACGAGAAGATGTGTCGTAGTTTCCCGAACGCTGCCCAGCCGAGTTAAATCCGTCGATTGACCTCTCGGTCGAAGTTGGACTTAACTAGTCGGACTATTTTTTCCAGGTAAACATACTCGTCAACACTTCGAGCTTAGTGCTCCCAACAACTACCGGCATAGGTGTAACATGGACGTTAAACATTATATATTAAATTACATATAAGATTTATGTTTTATCCATGTTCATCTTAAGACCTATCCGTTGGGAGACACTATTGAGATCATTGAACATAGTGCTTAGGTCCTCCAGCGACTCTGCCATAAGGATTATATCTTCGGCAAATCGAAGGTGAGTGATGTACTCGCCATTGATGTTAATACCGCATCCTTTCCAGTCCAGTAGTTTGAAAACGTCTTCCAATGCGGCGGTGAAAATTTTCGGAGATATAACGTCACCCTGTCTTACACCTCTCTGCAATAGGTTTCGTACTCTGATTCTGTACTCGGATAGCCATCGTAGCTTTACTGTACAAACACTTCAGCACTTCGATACACCGACAGTCAACTTGGCACCGCTGAAGGGACTGGAGCACCGCACAAATTTCGACGGAATAAAAGGCTTTCTCAAAGTCCACATACGCAAGGCAAAGTGGCAGATTATACTCCTCTGTCTTCTGTACAATCTGCCGCAGGGTATCTATGTGGTCTATGGTACTAAAGCCTTTTCGGAAACCGGCTTGTTCGGGAGGCTGGAAGTCGTCAAGTCTGCGTGCAAGATGATTCGTTATGACTCTCAAAAACAGCACGTAGACGCGGCTCAGAAGGGAAATCGGTCTGTAGTTCTTCAAGAGAGCGTTGTCGCCTTTCTTGAAGAACAAGACCAACTCACTTCTGCTCCACGCCTCCGGAGTAGTGCGACCATGGAGGACGGAATTAAAGAGCTTCTGAAGTACTTCAATTACTGGTTTTCCAAGCCGCTTTCAGAAGCTCCGCTGTAATGCCATCCTCGCACGGGGACTTGCCGATTTTAAGGTGCTGGAGAGCCATTCTAATCTCGCTCAGACTGACGTCCGGGATATCTTCGGAATAGTGTCGGATAAGACTCGCTCTTGGACCGTTACTCACACTTGCGTGTGGCTCCAAAGCCACACGCAAGTGTGAGTTGTGCAGTTACAAAACAGTTTTTAGTGCCTAGAAGACTGCAATGAAGTAGATGATATGAATGACAAGTTCGTGGAAACTGTCCATGCGGTCGGAGCTAAGTTCTGCAAGACCCGCCGCAGAAGAACACAAAAACTCTCCGATAACGCTCTTAATCTCATGGCTGTTAGACGGGAGATGAAGCTACATTCTTCAACAGATTTGACAGCATACAGGCAACTGAACAGCCAAATCTCCAAATGCATGCGGCGGGACTGGCGCAACTTCAATACAGCTTGTATTGAAGAAGCGATCGAGCGGAACCAAGGTTCCAAAGTCTTTGCCAGAGATCTGTCTGCCAGAAAGAGCCAACTGCCAAAGCTGAAGACCGAGTGAGGCAGCATCGTTTTCGGGACACCTGAGTTTTTGAGTGAGATTGAGCGGTTCTATGGGCAGCTGTACACGTCATCGTTGGAGCCACACGCAAGTGTGAGTAACGATCCAAGAGCGAGTCTCATCCGACACTATTCCGAAGATATCCCGGACGTCAGTCTGAGCGAGATTAGAATGGCTCTACAGCACCTTAAAAACGGTAAGGCCCCAGGCGAGGATGGAATTACAGCGGAGCTTCTGAAAGCGGGTGGAAGACCGGCACTTGAAGTCCTTCAGAAGCTCTTTAATTCCGTCCTCCATGGTGGCATTACACCGGAGGCGTGGAGCAGAAGTGCGGTGGTCTTGTTCTTCAAGAAAGGTGACAACGCTCTCTTGAAGAACTACAGACCGATTTCCCTACTGAGCCGCGTCTACGTGCTGTTTTCGAGAGTCATTACGAATCGTCTCGCGCGCAGACTTGACGACTTCCAGCCCCCCGAACAAGCCGGTTTCCGAAAGGGCTTTAGCACCATAGACCACATACATACCCTTCGGCAAATTGTACAGAAGTCCGAAGAGTACAATTTGCCACTATGTCTGGCGTATGTGGACAATGAGAAAGCCTTTGATTCCCTCGAAATTTGGGCGGTGCTGCAGTCCCTTCAGCGGTGCCAAGTTGACTGTCGGTATATCGAAGTGTTGAAGTGCTTGTACAGTAGGGCTACGATGGCTATCCGAGTACAGAATCAGAGTACTAGTGGAGAGGGCTATGCTCGGAGTTTCTCTGCGTGATAAACTTAGGAATGAGTATATCCGCAGTAGAACCAGAGTAACCGACATAGCCCAACGGATTAGTAAACTGAAGTGGCAGTGGGCCGGCCATATAGCTCGAAGAACCGACAACCGATTGGGAAGAAAGGTTCTCGAGTGGCAGCCTCGTACCGGTAGGCGAAGTATAGGGCGTCCCCCCACGAGATGGAGTGACGACCTGGTCAGACATGCAGGAAGTCGATGGATGCAGGTGGCTCAGGACCGTGCTTTGTGGTATTCTTTGGGGGAGGCCTATGTTCAGCAGTGGACTTGTGAAGGGCTGTAATGATGATTATGATGATGACATAAAGTATAGTGTAGTATAGTATATACATAAAGTATAGTATAGTGGGTTTTGAAGGAATGCATGGCTCTAGAGATCTCCTCATACATTTTCTCCACCTCCTCATCAGGATGTGCCGAGGTTGGTGCGTAAACCTGTATGACCTTCAGCGAATACCGTTTGGTGATTCTGAGTATAAGGTACGCAACCCTCGTCGACACACTCTCAATCTTTACAACGTTGTTAACGAGAGACTTGTGGACTTTAAATCCGACGCCTCCTTGGGACAGATGGTCGCCCTCCCGGTGATAGAGCAAGTTGCCGGATTCAAGGATTACCGTGTCCTCCCCCTCTCTTCGGACCTCGAATAATCCTATAATATGCCAGCGTAACTTGTTTATCTCTTCTTCCAGCTCCACGATCTTCTCGTCAGTCCTTAGGCTGCGTGCGTTGTATGTTGCCAGGTCGAGTCGTCTTAGGTGGCAACCGAACCTCCACCGGAGATTCTTAGCACCCCCTGCCCCGCCGTTACCATGGTCGCCACCGTAGCCAGGAATAGCGGGGCCGCCGGGGACTAGGGCCACCTCTTTGTTTCTCTTGTGGCGTAACTCGCTTCTGTTGGACCCCACATAAATCCGCTACGCTTATGAAGCTTGAGCCACGCTCGAACATCACGCCACCGGAGAGAAACAATGGAGTGACCTAGATATGCGACGCACCGCGCTTTTGTCAGAGCGCGGGCCGGACCACCGTGCATTCCGCCGGCAGCTAGCTCAGGAACAACACGCGCGCGCCTCTCACCTCGATTAACTTATCTTGTACGCGAAGTTAATTTCATTCTTGTAAATTGTTGTCAGTAAAAGTTATTTTTTTATCTCGAATTCTCGAATAACATTACTTCATTCGGATATAATTCATATAATTCTTTATCCTATCTTATATTAGTATTCTGTCATTTAAATATATAACGTACGCGTATTGAATACTACGGTTGGGTTTGGTGGCTAGGTGTTAACACATATAACTCTCACCGAGCTACCACGCTAGCAAACCCACATTGGTGACCTGCCGACACGCCGAAGCAACGGTAGATTGAATCTACGCACCTCACGATCGCAACGATTCCAGCTTCGAAGCTACGGAGAGATAACAAAGGATAGGGTTTGGTCCAAGTCGAACAAGGTGAGCGTATAATTTTATTTTGATATTGTGCAATGATGGACGAACCGAGTGTAGTCAACGTTACCGAACAGAAAGATTCGACTCCCGCAGAAGTCTTGAGAGTTGGTGTTAGGGTACCCCAATTCCTGGTCGATGAGCCTGTCTTAAGGTTCGCACAAATCGAAGGCCAGTTCTTATTATCCAGAATCACAAGTGACGAGACAAAATTCTACTACGTAGTCGCGCAACTAGAACCTCCATACGCTAGGGAAGTTAAAGACATAATTACCAACCCACCAAGAACCGATAAGTACCTAAAGTTGAAAACGGAACTAGTTCGTCGTCTTTCAGCATCGCAGGAGAAGCGTCTCCAGCAACTGCTCTGCTACGAAGAGCTTGGCGATCGGAAACCGTCGCAGTTCTTACGCCACCTGCAGAATCTGGCAGGAGCATCAACAGCGTCAGACTTTATAAAAACCTTATGGTCGAGTCGCCTACCTCTTAATATTCAAACTGTGATTGCTTCTCAGATAACAGACTTATCGTTAGAGAAACTAGCTAAACTAGCAGACAAGGTGTACGAGATCGCACCGATGAACCCTCAGGTTGCCAGCACCTCTACTGCCACGCCGGGAAATCGCGACACCATGGCCAAGTAGATAAGTGAACTAACGAGGCAAGTAGCACTTCTCACTACTCAACTAAACAGGCAACAACGTTCCCGCTCACATTCAAGATCGCGATCTCTCTCGAGGAAATTCCAACCCAAAAGGCATCCACCGGATCACCCGCACTGTTTTTATCATTACACCTACGGGCGCAAGGCGAACAAGTGTAAGCAGCCTTGCGCATTTAAGGCGGAAAACTAACATAGTGGTCGTAAGTAGCGGCTAACCTTCAACAGGCCGTTTATTCATCACAGACAGGACATCAAAAATGCAGTTCCTCGTGGACACTGGTTCAGATCTGTGTGTTTTTCCCCGGTCAGCAGTCAAGATGCCCTGTTCAAAATCCAGGTATGACTTCATAGCTGCTAATAACACAGTCATACACACCTACGGACCAATACTGCTACACCTCAATTTAGGATTGAGACGGAACTTCACATGGAACTTCACAGTAGCCGATGTGACACGACCGATCATCGGAGTTGACTTCCTCAGCCACTATAATTTACTCGTCGACTGTAGGAATCAACGACTAGTCGGCAATGTCACTACTCTCTCGGTCAACGCCATAGCTCACACATCAACGGAGGACATCGCTTCGGTGAAGTCAGTCACCGGAGAAACCGAATTTCACCAGATACTGCGTGAATTCCCAGAGATAACTCGCTCTCCAGGTATGTACTTACCATACAAATACATTACTCTGCACCATATCAGGATAACTCCAGGACCTCCAGTAGCCAGTAAGTCTCGACGCCTGAATCCACTTCGCATGCAAGCGGCGAAGCAGGAGTTCTCAGACATGCTCGCCAGCGGCACAGCCAGACCATCGGAAAGTGCTTGGTCTTCTCCTCTGCACATGGTAAAGAAATAAGAGGCATTCAATCTTAGTCCTCACGGCTGACAACGCATCTGCATTTTTATTCGCAAACAAAGATAGATGTAGATGTCTATGGGCCGCAGTAACCACTTACCATCAGGTGGACTGTGTGCTCGTTTGTCATCCTTATTCTATAAAAAAAAAGTTGGAGACCATGTGGAGACTACAGAGCACTGAATTATAGAACGATACCTGATCGATACCCCATCCGTCATATTCACGACTTTTCGTATCAACTCACAGGCTGTTCTGTCTTTTCTACCATCGACTTAGTCAAGGCGTACAATCAGATTGCTGTCAATCCAGATGACATTATGAAAACGGCGGTTACGACTCCATTTGGATTGTACGAATTCCCGTTCATGAATTACGGCTTAAGAAACGCAGCACAAACCTTCCAGAGGTTCATTGACGAGGTGTTGCTAGGACTTGATTTCTGCTACGGATATATCGATGACATCTTGGTATTTTCGTCATCCAACCAAGAGCACAAAAACCATCTGCGGCAACTCTTTGAACGCCTAAAGCAGTACGGCGTCGTGGTAAACACTGCCAAGTGTATACCTGGCCAACCAGAAGTCACGTTCCTGGGATACCACGTCTCAGCTGCAGGTACGAAACCACTAGAGTCCAAAGTCGAAACTATCAGGCAATACCCCGTTCCTAAAAAGGTCAAAGAACTAAGAAGTTTCTTAGGCATGCTAAACTTCTACCGTCGCTTTGTTTCCAACGCAGCCCAACTTCAAGCACCGCTGAATGACGTTTTCAGTGGCTCAAAAATCAAAGAGTCTCATCCGATAGTCATGACACCGCAATTACTTCGAGCCTTCGAAGACTGTAGGAATCACTATCTCAAGCAACTCTTCTCGCTCATCCAGACCCAGCTGCAGAACTAGCAATAGTGACAGATGTGTCTGAAACTGCCATTGACGCCGTGCTTCAACAATGGAAAGGTAAGGATTGGGAACCACTTGCTTTTTACTCTCATAAGCACAGCAACGCACAGTGGAAGTACAGCCCCTACGACAGAGAGCTACTAGCTGTCTACGAAGCCATCAAATACTTCCGACATATGGTCGAAGCCAGAATATTTACAATATTCACTGACCATAAGCCTCATGGACGGCACATGATCGCCGCCTTGAGTTGACGATGAAGTCGTTCGATGATACCGTTTGCAGCTGGGTGATAGGAGGTTGTGCGCAAGTGACGCGCACCAACCAACTTGGTGAGAGCTTTGAAGAGATGGCTCTCGAATTGGCGACCACGGTCTGTAGTCACCAGTGTAGGACAGCCGAATCGGGCTATCCAGCCGGACACCAGAGTAGCTGCGCAGGTCTCCGCCGTGACGTCCACCATGGGGTATGCCTCAGGCTATCGCGTGAAACGGTTGATGACGGTAAGGCAATATCTGTAACCAGAAAACAGAATTAAGGGCCCTACGATGTCGAGCTGGATATGTGAAAACATCGACGAGGAAGTGGGGAAAGGTGAAAGCGGGGACGTGTATGACGGGTGATTTTGCTCTTTTGGCATGACAAGCATTGTCGAGACCACTCTCTACAATCTTTACGTATCCCTGGCCATACGTATCTTTGTGAGACCAATCGCACAGTAGCTAAACTTTCAGGATGGTGTAGGCTGTGTATTATACCAAAAACTTGTTTTCTGAACTGAGGAGTAACATAAGGACGTGGCGGTTGCACAGAAGTGTTGCAGAAAAGTAAGTTACCATTCATAGTATTGATCCTTTTCAGTTGCAGGGTAGAGCCATGAAGGAGTAGATTTTGCAGTACTGGATCTTTGTCTGTAGTGATTTCCTCGACTCTAGAAAGTGCGTCAGCAACTAAGTTTTCCTTACCAGGTAAGTATTTCAGGTCCGTCGTAAACTAAGCAATTTAGTCAAGGTGTCTGAACTGTCTTGGAGTGCATTTGTCTTTGCTCTTTGAGAAGGCGAAGATAAGAGGCTTATGATCGGTGAATATTGTAAATATTCTGGCTTCGACCATATGTCGGAAGTATTTATTCATTAATTAAGTTAATTTATATATATATATATATATATATATATATATATATATATATATATATATATATATATATATATATAATCCATAATACTCAAAGAGAATAGGTACGTAACAATCAAAATATTTATGTGTACTTATTTTAACACTAAGGTTCATAAATAATGAAAAATATAAAAATATAATTAATTAGATAACATTAAAATGACACACCAAAAAATTTTCCATACCCTAATCCCTAATCCTAAGAGAACTTGTATTATGGAAGATCAAGATCGTTTAGTCGCCATACTCACTGTATCATAGTGCGAGCGAGCGAATAGATATGAAAGATAGTATCGCTCGCGTAGCTCGCCGCCCGCTCGGTGCGTAAAATACCTAAATTCGTGTAACGACGAAATGTAAGGTGCCCATTACACAGTAGGTTTTGCTGTCAGTTTTACAACAATCACGGTTGTGATTGACGAATAACCTACCGTGTAATGCGGTGATTGACGGTTGCATAAAATGGATTGACAAATATTTTGATATTTTTCTGGATATTTTGATTTTAACCTCAATCACGTGTCGTTGCTCCTAACTTTTCTTCAGGAGTTATAGCTTTTCGCATACATGTATCTTGTTTTTTAGGTATGGTGTTACCAAGATCAGTAACTTATGAAAACAAGCCTCTCATGCGAAAATAATTTGCATAGTCTGTATCCTCTTTTGATACCCGTATGTCAGTCAATAAGTTAATATGGGTATAGAAATCCCTTTTTAAAAGCCAGTCTTTTACCCAGCGCCTCCTTTTTATACGTTTTTTTACACAACATTGCAATCAAAAATGCAGCACAGGCCTTTTTTTTATCAATATCCATCCTATCCCTCTGAAATTTTGGGTTTGACTGACGATCAGTCCGAATGAGTGCGTAATGTCGAAATTATTCTATCATTCAAACATCAAGGCGCATGTTCGGCCTCACATGGAATACTGTTCCCATATTTGGGCTAGGGCTCCCCAGTGCCAGCTCCTTCCACTCGACCGCATCCAGCACAAAGCGGCTCGAATCGTCGACGACCGGGTCCTTTCCGATCGGCTCGATTCATTGGCGCTGCGAAGAGATGTTGCATCCCTTTGTATTTTCTTTCGCATTTACCATGGGGAGTGCTCTGAGGAATTGTTAGAATTAATCCCAGCCGCCAAATTTTACGAACGCACATCGCGACAGAACTTCCGATACCATCCACACCATCTGAATGATTGGCGGTTCACCACTGTGCGATTTAGAAGATATTTTCTTCCTGGCACGACTTCCTTGTGGAATCGATTACCACCAGGGATTTTTCCGGATCGATACGACTTAGAGACTTTCAAGAAAAGAGCTTACTCCTTCTTAAAAGGCCGGCAACGCATCTGCAATTCCCCTGGTTCCCCTGGTGTTGCAGTTGTTCATGGGCGGTGGTAATCATTTACCATCAGGTAAGCCGCATGCTCGTTTGCCCCCTCTCCTATAAAAAGAACAATCATAATTGATCGAAAGTGACAGAGAAGAGGGTTTTTAAGGTGTCAAAGAATGTAGCAGGAGGAACGCGGCCGGTGGACACAGCACGTGCCCTGCTACTCGCTTTTCGGGTTTTCCCCGAATTAGAACTACTGCTGGGCCTCATTATACTCAAATATTTTTTAAATATTATTTATTAGGTTATAATTATAATATAATTATAGTATTATATGTTAAGATCCTTTTTATTCTTAACTGATATGGATCAATGTACTTAATAAAGGTAAATACGGTGAAAATACTTTCCTAATTTTAGATTTCCAAAATATCGTAAATTGTCAAATTAATGGGTAAATAGTATAACAATTATAATTTTTGATGCATGTATGGTGAGAGGGCTATAATGTAATTATAATTTGACTTAATGTTTTTGTTAACGCATATCCTTACCAAAAAATTTGCTTGTCATAATATTGTAAGACTGCTTGTTTAAATAATATTAATAATTTAACTATCCCAGTTCTATTATATGAATTTCACAAGAAATATTAACTGTAAACATGTACCCAAGTACCCCTTTGAAATATTCTATTTCTTTATGTTTGTTTAATTGATACCAGGCTTGCTTTTCTTTATAGATCACGGGTGACAAAGGAGCACACAGTCGAACTGATGGTAAGTGAATACTGTGGCCAATTAAGCATATTCCAGACAGATGTATCTTCTGGTTGTTGCTTGTTGCCATCCATATAGACTGCAGATGTAAACCAAATTTTTATTTGACTTTCAACGTCCTTGGAGGATGGGCGCACGCTCCCATCCACAGTTGAACGCGTGAATTACATCCGTTTAGCCGGCGGCTTACATTTTACCCAAGACATTATTCACTAACTAATAAGAAGTGCTAGCGCAGACATTATTGCTAATTAACTAGAAACACTCACACTCAGTCATCCACGTACCAGCAAATCGAATGCGAAATTATAAGTGAATCAATCGATTTATAGAAATCATCTACAGAGATGATATTATGTCTGAAACGTATAAAGATGCTCGTCAAAAGAAAACCGCTTGGGAGATATTACTCCACAAGTACAAAGAGTTGGACCAAAATTTCTTTTCTTCCTTTATTTTCCGTCTTTAATTGCGCACAATACTGTTAAAGGAAAGTCCGCCTTTTGAAATTTTAACTAATTAGAAGCCATTTATACATTTTAATTCTACGCGAGCGCGATTTACAGTGAAGATCGACCGTGTTGGCGCTTGGTTGTAGTAATCATGAAGCAAATACAAAGAGAAAGTGTTGTAATTAGATGTCACTTTGTAACAACGTGTGATAATTTGCGAGGTGAGGGGATGTGATGAAGACCGATAAATAGTAAACTACTCGAATCGTTCCATATCGATGATGCAATGTAGTTTAGCTACCTTGACGATAGATGGCAACCTGTTCACAAAATGATTATAAAAATTATGAAAATAATATTTTGGCGGTTAAAACTTCTTTAGGACTGAATGCAAAACAAATTTCAGCACCTTTGTACGTAGAGCTCATTATTTTACCAACAATGAGCTCTACGTACCTTTATATTTTATATTCGACACTAGATGGTGACACAAAGTGTCGTCATCTTGTTGTGAAATATATTTAATTATATTTGAAAGCCGACTCAAAGAGATTTTTCTAGAATAATTTTAATAAATTAGGTGTAAAATTACTTACAAATGTGATGATACAGGAAGTTGTAATCCGTGTAGCCGAACATAGATACTATACTATATATGGCATAGCCGAAACACAATCCGCGAATGGAAACGGAAACCAAACTCCCGCTAAGTTCACCTTTGTTGACGCTGGATTACATCCATCTGAAACATGCTTTAGACATCTAGATTTATCCTCCATTATAATCTAGCACTTCTTATTAGTTTATGATTATAATTCAATGTTCAGTAGAAACAGAAAAACTTTTAATTAAACGTATCTATTAAATGATGATGACAATGTCTGATCTGCGTAACAAATAATTTTATCTTCGAACTAGCGGCTTCTGGTGAGCGTACTGTAGCGCACCACTATTAATGTCTTGTACAAGCCAACACTAGTTGTCACTAGCGCCCTCTAGTGTCGAGTAGCAGAACCAGGAGAGTAAAGACCCTTCAAGAAATTTCGGGACCGATATGTACTCGAACATTCTAGATGTTTCTACAGTAAAAGGTTCTGGAAACTATCTGAGGCCCTATATAAGGCCGGTATAGACCACGACCGAGTCAGTATTGAATTGGCGATACAAGAGAATACTTCGAAGCGAAATAACTGCAAACTAAAGTAATCAGTAGTACAATTGTGTTTTATTATTAGTGTGGTTTTAGATTGTAATTAGT